TTCAATTCGGAGAGACGAGAAACAGGAAGTTGAGTATTTTATGAAAGGAGGTTTGGCGCCCTAGGTCCCGGTGCGGCCTTCGGATCGGAAAGGCTCCTGCGATGAGCGCGCACAATCCCCAAAAAGGCTGCGTGTTGATGGAGTTTTTCGAAGCCTGGTTTGGAGGGGACAGACGTCGTGACTACTCTATTCTGTGACCGCTATCGCTAAGCTGTGACCGCTATCGCTATTCTGTGACCGCTATCGCTAAGCTGTGACCGCTATCGCTATATGCTGTGACCGCTATCGCTATATGCTGTGACCGCTATCGCTAAGCTGTGACCGCTATCGCTATATGCTGTGACCGCTATCGCTATATGCTGTGACCGCTATCGCTATATGCTGTGACCGCTATCGCTATATGCTGTGACCGCTATCGCTATATGCTGTGACCGCTATCGCTATATGCTGTGACCGCTATCGCTATATGCTGTGACCGCTATCGCTAAGCTGTGACCGCTATCTACTGTGATCAATACTTGCGGATACTCGGCTGCTGGCGGCGCCTATCCGGAAGGAGTGAGCTGCGTAGAGATGGGGAGACAGGTTACAAAGCAGCAGTACGGACTTTAGTTGGGCTCTGAACCCGTTGGATGATGTTGGGAGGTGATCGGGGGTGAAAAATAACGGTCCGTTGAGATCTCCTTTCCGAGAGCGGAGGCGAGTGTAATGCATCATGGGTTATTTTTGCGCGCTGGGAACGTGAGCGTTCGCATCACGTTCCGTCAGACGCTGCGGCAGCGGAGAGCGTTTGAGAAGTGCGTGCCGCCACCAGAATCTTATTGCTTCACTTACTTTGCTTCGTATTGCTTTGCTGGGAACTTGCGAGGAAGCCAGTAGACGTTGTGCAGCCAGGATGGCGGACGCGTCTGGGCTGATGTAGGCGGAGAAGGCCGAAGAGGACCAGCGCCCCAGCTGTTGGAGAGGTGTGGGGGAGCCCCAGCGAGGCCGCGCGCGTGGCAGCGCCTATCCTGAAGGAGTGGGCTGGGAATGTTGTCGTAGCTGATCAGTGTTTCAGTAAAAGAGATGCAAGTGAAGAGAGATGGCAAGTAAATGAAGCAGCAGCAGCAGCAGTAGCAGTATGGAGCAGCAGCAGCATCCGTAGACAATAACAGCAATAATCCTGTATCAAAGCCACAGCAGTAGAATATTGTTGTAGTTGTTTAGTGTTTCAGTAAAAGAGATGTGAAGTGAAGCCAGGTGAGCCAGGTTACGTACGTGTCTGAAAGAGCCGAGCCGTAGAGACAGGTGCAGCCTAGGAGCCCGCGGAGCGGCAGCGGCAGGAACAGCAGCAGCGGCACATGTAGTAGTAGGAGCAGCAGGAGCGGCAGCAGGAACAGGCATCAGCGGGAACAGGCATCAGTAGGAACGGCAGCAGGGACCGCAGCAGCGGCGGTCAGAGAACCGTGCCCATAGTTGTTTAAGAGCCTGAGGAAATAAATCATCCCGAATCCGAAACATTCCCATGCGAATAACCGACGTCCCCTGGAGCCATCTGCTGCTTTGGTTATGGTAGATACGCATGAACGATCACTGATCCATGCGTTCATAGCTCCAACACCACTTCAAACCCATTGCAGATTCACATTGGGCCCCTTTTCTTTCTGCTGCACTTTCGAAATGCCACACTGCAGTTTAGTTACCAGTTTAATACTAGTGACCTAGCTATTTAAATGCATGGCCCCTCCTTCCTCCCGCAGATAGATGAATTTAATACGATCATTTAACAATAGTGACCTGCGAGTAATGAGATTGATGCTGTAAAGATGGCGCCGTGGCAAGAGCTCTGTGTGTGCCGTCTGGAGCACAATGGGGTAGTCTTGCAAATTATTTTCCACGTGGTTTACTGCAAGTGGCAGAACATGAATCTGAATTAATCACATTGCTCCTCTTATATCCTTCAGCCGATAGAGATAGACGCCATTTAACATGCATTGCCCCTCAGTTAGCTCAGACACATGTGGAAACGAAGCCTGCAGACCAAGTACAGGGCGAAAAACCAACCTTGCAGCCCAGACTCAGGGATTAATCCGTCCGCGGTCAGCACACTCACATGCCAGGAGACTTGGGGAAAGCAACGGGACAACGTGGCACCGCCAGACCTTCTGCGCGCGGCAGCAGACCACGAGGAACGAGCAGCATAGAACCCGCGGAGGGCCTTGCGGAGGGCCCCACGGAGCAGCCCGCAGAAAGAGCCCGCAGAAAGAGCCCGCAGAAGAGGAGAGCAGTGGAGACACGCGAACCACAGCAGGTGCAGGGACGTGGAGGAGGAGCAGACCACGAGCAGCCAGACTGAGGACAGCCGGGCCACGCGCACGAGTAGCGTGAGTAGACGAAAACGATTCCTTTCAAGGCTTCAGAGGTCGAGAAGTGAGAGTTTCTCCGTTTTTATGCGGCTGGGGTAGTCGGTACGGATGATTGGAAGGGGGCGTCTGCTGAGCGATAGGCTGGGGATGCGAGCCGGCCTGGAGGGGGTAATTTTGGTTAACGTCTACCAAATTGAATTTTCGCTGGCTGCATAATTATCTTTTTACACTTCGAGTTCCCATGTGTTTGAGTTCGACGGAGGCTCAGTTGGTAGAGCAATGGGCTTTGAGACTCTACCAATTCAGACTCCCACTGATGTCTCAGAATCAGAATAATTTTTATTGCCACGTAAGTAACAGGAGGTCACAGACTTGGAAATTTCTTTGGCTCAATGCAACAGTCAGAGAGAGATAATAAAAAATAAAGAATAAAGAATAAAACACTTTTAAGGAATACATTTAAATTTAAAATAGAGTTACAGTTTCTATTTACAATATACAAGTGCACATGGTGCACACAATGTAAGGTGACAGCAGTACAGTGAAGTAAAGTGACGTATGATGGGCAGTAAAGTGACTTTATAAAGGGCGGGGGACAGGTTAAGAAGTGTTCAAGAGTCCAACAGCAGAGGGGAAGAAACTGTTCTTGTGGCGGGAGGTTCTAGTCCTGATGGACCGCAGCCTCCTGCCTGAGGGGAGTGGTTGGAATAGTCCATGTGCAGGTGAGAGGGGAGTGGTTGGAATAGTCCATGTGCAGGGTGAGAGGGGAGAGGTTGGAATAGTCCATGTGCAGGTGAGAGGGGAGTGGTTGGAATAGTCCATGTGCAGGTGAGAGGGGAGTGGTTGGAATAGTCCATGTGCAGGTGAGAGGGGAGTGGTTGGAATAGTCCATGTGCAAGTGAGAGGGGAGTGGTTGGAATAGTCCATGTGCAGGTGAGAGGGGAGTGGTTGGAATAGTCCATGTGCAGGTGAGAGGGGAGTGGTTGGAATAGTCCATGTGCAGGTGAGAGGGGAGTGGTTGGAATAGTCCATGTGCAGGGTGAGAGGGGAGTGGTTGGAATAGTCCATGTGCAGGTGAGAGGGGAGTGGTTGGAATAGTCCATGTGCAGGGTGAGAGGGGAGTGGTTGGAATAGTCCATGTGCAGGTGAGAGGGGAGTGGTTGGAATAGTCCATGTGCAGGTGAGAGGGGAGTGGTTGGAATAGTCCATGTGCAGGTGAGAGGGGAGTGGTTGGAATAGTCCATGTGCAGGTGAGAGGGGAGTGGTTGGAATAGTCCATGTGCAGGTGAGAGGGGAGTGGTTGGAATAGTCCATGTGCAGGTGAGAGGGGAGTGGTTGGAATAGTCCATGTGCAGGTGAGTGGGGAGTGGTTGGAATAGTCCATGTGCAGGTGAGAGGGGAGTGGTTGGAATAGTCCATGTGCAGGTGAGAGGGGAGTGGTTGGAATAGTCCATGTGCACGGTGAGAGGGGAGTGGTTGGAATAGTCCATGTGCAGGGTGAGAGGGGAGTGGTTGGAATAGTCCATGTGCAGGGTGAGAGGGGAGTGGTTGGAATAGTCCATGTGCAGGGTGAGAGGGGAGTGGTTGGAATAGTCCATGTGCAGGTGAGAGGGGAGTGGTTGGAATAGTCCATGTGCAGGTGAGAGGGGAGTGGTTGGAATAGTCCATGTGCAGGTGAGAGGGGTCGGCTGTGATACGACCACAGGGTCTGCTTATCTTTGTGTCCTTGGGCAAGACACTTAACCCCACTTTGCCTGAAGCCCCCACTGAAAGATCTCAGCACCTGCAGGAGGATCAGTGAGGGGCTGGTGCTCTGTGGACTGGGTGCAGCTCTGACTGCCACCCCCCCGACCCAGAAATGGGTTAAGGGGAAGAAAATGGATGGATGGACATACAGTACATACATACAGTGCCTTGCGAAAGTATTCGGCCCCTTGAACCTTTCAACATTTCGCCACATTTCAGGCTTCAAACATAAAGTTATAAAATTTACATTTTTTGTCATGAATCAACAACAAGTGGAACAAAATTTATTAGATAATTTAAACTTTTTTAACAAATAAAAAACTGAAAAGTGGGGCGGAGGTGATCGCAGGCTGCACTTTGGTCCGAGCGGAGGTAAACTGGAGACACCTGGCGAGGCTCTCAGAGGAGGCCGCTCGGTCTGTCTTTTCTGTGCTCCGTGTGAACTGGAGACACCTCACTGTAAACCCTAACTTCAATCTTAATTCAGATATCAAAGTTATTTTAAATTGATTTTTCCCAGTAAGTAGATATTACTCATTTATTGTTAGTTTATTTAAAGCTTGCCTATGTCACTCTTTTCAGTTCAATTTCTTTGAATTGAACTGTTTCTGTTCAAGTAAGCCTCACTTTTGACATTTTGACGTGTAGAGTCTTTAATGAGACAGGTATGTGAATGTCAGAGTGTCCTGGTGGCTGAGTGGGTAGCACCATTACCTCTCAACTTCAGGGTTCTGAGTACGAATCCCGGTCGGAGCATAAGTAGAAATTTAAACTTTATTGCAGTCACTCGAGTTTACTTGGTAATATCAAGTAAAGGATGTACTCGAGGAATTCAAGTGAAGTTAATACGCAATTTATTTCCATGGATTTTTCAAGTAAACTTTACTTGTCAGGGTTTTGGCGAGGCTCTCAGAGGAGGCCGCTCGGTCTGTCTCTTCTGTGCTCCGTGTGAACTGGAGAGGAAGTGGTGTTTAAACCTCTGCTCTCTAACTGCACGGCGAGCCCAGGGGAGCCGCCAGGAGCCAGCCAGCACAGACGCCGAGGTGCGCTGAGAGATAAGACAGAAATGTAGAGCAGGGACGGGGGGATTAAAACAGAAAAGTTTAGAAGCTTTTGGTTTTTTACTTTATTTTCACTTGGATTTGAGGAGCGACAAAGTTTGTCCATGTCCAGTTTAATTTCACAGAAGAAGACCAGGGGTTGACTGATAATAGATAGAAAGTAAGTAAGTAAGTAAGTAATCTTTATTTATATACCGCCTTTTCACTGCACATCGGAGTCTCAAAGCGGTTTACAATTGTTATTTTTTTTTTTTTGGGAGTGGGGCCAGTACAGGAGGCACATGCCAGACCTATTGTACATATTTTTAGTGGTAGGGGAAACCGGAGCACCCGGAGGAAACCTACGCTGACATGGGGAGAACATGCAAACTCCACTCAGAAAGGCCCTGGTCCAACCGGGATTCAAACCCAGGACCTTCTTGCTGAGATCCACTCAGCCACCCGGCCGCCAGATAGATAGATAGATACAGTAGATACTTTATTGATCCTCCGCGGGAGAAACGCATGTGTTTAGCTGCAGAAAAACACACATCCATTTAAAACATTTGCACATAAATCCTAAACATTTCTAACTAACTAGCTAACAATAGTGCGTATTCTTAACTCATACAGGTCTGTTGTACCGTCTGACAGCCAAAGGAACACAGGATCTCTATCAGCACCATTATCAACCAATTGTTTCTGTAAGACTTTAAATGTGCAGTACCGTTGTTGGCCTGTAAGATGAACGATGTTACGGAGTCGCAGAAAGCCAAAGAATCAATGAAACAAGGAACAGCAGACTGGATACTTGTAGCAGCAGGACGTGTTTATGTTGAACACATGGTGCAGGCGTAGGGCTTGGACGACGCAGATGATGTTATTGCAGAAGTTCCTTTTGTAAACGTTTATAAAAACCAGAGCGGGTGGCCGAGTTATTTTATCTAATGTCCTTCTAGAGAAACAAGCTCGAAATGCTCCCATCTTCAGCACCTGACTGATAGATGTGTTTGTCCTGCTCCGCCTCGACGTCTGCAGCTGTCATTTGATCGTTGGGAATTCCAGGGTCTGACTTCTGGGTTCTGGCACAAAAATACATTCTTACAGTTCGTTAACTTTTAGATGTATGTAGTTATGTGCTCGTTTGGATGGATGTGGTTCTACAGGGATCAGTAAAGTATCAATCTCCTGCACAACAACACTTTATAACACATTCCTGCTCACCGCACATGTGCATAAACAAAGCACTGTCCATTTACTTTAGTTTTTGGTCAACAAAAATGAATAGTACAAATAATAGCACACTTTATTTGGATAAAAACACATTGAATACAGCGCAGTAAACAAACGGTTGTAACCATGGTCAGATGGGAACAGCCTCATCACTACTTCTGGTTTCATAATCCCACAGAATTATGTTGAATAGACTTTGTGAATGCAGTCCTTGCTTTTCATAAGGACTGTGTGTTGATTGTTGATAAGTGGTGGTGGTGGCTCAGGGGTCAACAGCACAGGGTTTTAGGCCTCACTTTAGAGGCTCATTATGATTGAAAACAACAGACTGCAACAAATCAATGCAGAGGAGCAGGACAATGGCAGCTCTCTGAAGTGGACTCAGCGCCACGGACTGAAGCAGATGAAGAGCTGATTAAATGCACAGTTCTTTCTGACGAGTCGACCGTTATCAAAAAAAAGTGTCGGTGTGATGCAGTTCATAACAAAAATAAATGCTTTGTCAGAGCTTATCAAATGCTCATGATTATTGCAGAGTCACAAACGCCCCGTGATCTCCAGTCTCCCATCATTTACTGACCAGACACAGGGTTGTGTCATATGGAATCTAAGTTAAAGCTGGGGTTCCTTACTTTTTTGTTCCAAAAAGAATACAAGCTGTTTGTCCCAATAGTCCCCAGCTCTAACAGTGATTTACTCCTAATGTATGGGTATCGTATTCTTGTGTTCCATATGACGTCAGGGCAGTAGTGAATAACAAACGTAGGACAGGACGTGACGTATCCTGGCGGTGCAGTCTGCCGGCTTTATACACAGAGATATAGTAGAAGAAGAAGTGGTTTATACACGGAGATATAGTAGAAGAAGAAGTGGTTTATACACGGAGATATAGTAGAAGAAGAAGTGGTTTATACACAGAGATATAGTAGAAGAAGAAGTGGTTTATACACGGAGATATAGTAGAAGAAGAAGTGGTTTATTCTGGCGGCACGGTGGCTGAGTGGATAGCACTCTCGCCTCTCAGCAAGAAGGTGCTGGGTTCGAATCCCGGTCGGACCAGGGCCTTTCTGGGTGGAGTTTGCATGTTCTCCCTGTGTCTGCGTAGGTTTCCTCCAGGTACTCCGGTTTCCCCTACCACTAAAAATATGTACAATAGTTCTGGCATGCGCCTCCTGTTTGGCGACCCCGCTCCCATCTCTGTGTGGAGTGAGAGGAAAAATCCCCAAAAAAATAATAACAATTGTAAACCGCTTTGTGACCCTTGTCTGTGAAAGGCGGTATATAAATAAACATTACTTACTTACTTACTTACTTTATACACAGAGATATAGTAGAAGAAGAAGCCATCTTTTTGTGCGATGTACGTTTGTAGCAACCGCACAAATAGAGAAAGACAGAGTTTGTTCATGTTCCAACTGTGGTCTCATATAAAGGAGGACACTTTGAAAAAAATCACTGGAATGAGGCGGAGGTGGATCAAGGCCAGATAAGCGCCCCCTGCAGGCCACCCCAATGAAACGCAGCCATTTATTCTGTTTTTTTTTCTTTTCCAAAAATGCCCGAAATCAAGACTCTTTTGAGAAATATTTGTTATTACTCAGAACTAGTGCTTAGAAGTGAGTGTCCCCGATTAAGACTGTTCCAACAACCGTACACCGCACAGGAGGAGAGCCTCCAAAACAGACTTTACATGGTTTTACATGGGAGCTAAACTGTCCCACCTCTGCTCATGCGCCCCCTACTGGCCAGTTTAATGGAACACAAGAATACCTTTATATAGATAGATAGAATGTTATATCATATTCCCAACAAAGACGTGATGTGTGCGTCTGAGTGCTCTTATTTCCTTTCTCTGCTGTAATGTGCAACGATGACACTGACATTTCTCCACTGTGAGAAGAATAAAGGAATATCTTATCTTTAGACTGGTTAAGTAGGTCCAAATCATGGCCATAACAAGGTCCTGTCTTTTTGACAATACTTCATCTCTTTTATGTGGGAAAAAGTCAAAGTCACTGGAAATAAAACAGTGAACAATGAAGACTACATATTTGAAGGGTCTATTCATTTCTAAAGCAGAACTAAGGCCGAGCAGATCCGTCGCTTCACATTCAATCATAAAAAGCAGAACTATCGAGCCGCAGAGACCGCAGGGGGAGCATGGAATGTTATGGCCCAGAATGTGGAAAAGAACCCTGCCAGTATTTCAAGCGTACAAACATGACTGGGATAATGCTCCCATCAGCAGTTTGGCTTCGACGTGAGCAGAGTCTGTTTCTGTGGCGCAGAGGAATAATGACTGAGAAATAATGACTGTTGACTGCACGCCTGTTTTTTAATCTCAGCATCTGCCAAATTTCAAACGACTCTCTATCGGCTCCTGTAGCAACCGCCGCGGCAAAACGCACTGTCAACACATATGTCACTTTTATTTAACTCTTACACAACTCGCTTCTAATGAACACGGTGTGAATTAAGGCAGAAAAGCTGCTGAAACGTCAAACAGAATGACAATTTAGGCTTAACTTGAAACAAATACATATCATGCATTTCCACGGTTTTGTATTTTGTTTATTTTGGTCTTAATGATAATATCCATCGCCCACTGTCCTTGACCAAGTTATTCACTTTTTTATTTCTTCTACGTTCGATTATTGGAAGTCGCCACAAACACAGTCCTGGCGTAATTTCACTGCCCTGAGTGTGATGTCATAGTGATGTCATAGTGATGTCATAGTGATACAATGCAATGCATAATGTTTTGAAAAAAGTGGTATAGGTGCATCCCTAATACATAGATACACACACACACACACACACACATATACACACATGCACCACATACATACCAACACACACACACACACACACACACCACATACACACAAACATATCCACCTTGAGAGCAACAATCCAAGAGCACTTGGATGGGGCCTATCCCTTCATTCCTTCATTAATTACGTTTGCGCCTGATGCAGTTAAAATCTCGGCCGTCTCGCCGTGACCTTGCCCGGGCGATGTCTATAGCTTGGATTTGCGTCGGGGCCTGTCTAATCGCGTAATGAGCTGCCTCTCTGAGTAAATCGCGGGCTAATTACATGCAGATTGTGAAGCCGTATTAAACCAAAGCACAGAGCATATTTGCCCCACATTAGCATATGCATAACCCGGCTTTGTCTGAGTCCACATCGCGCCGCGGTGTAAATATTGGCGCTCGGTGACACAGCTCGTCGCCACGGCGTCGGCGCATCGCGTCTCTGTCGGGTCAATGCCAAGTCAGGAAGTAAATGAAAAGTTAACATCGTGGTTCCTCCATAATATTCCATTAGAGACAAATGAAAAGAGGTCCTGGTTGTTCTGCGTAAGTCCACGAGGTCAGCCACAGTGCGGAATTAATAATAATAATAATGCATTGGTTTCATTATTCATTCTCTCCAAACACAGTGGTGATAAACTACTGTAGCCACAGCTGCCCTGGGGCACACTGACAGAAGCGAGGCAACCAGTCTGTGCCATCGGCCCCTCCCACCACCACCAACCATTCACACACACACCAGACTCATTCTAATGTGGGGGAAGTGTCTTGCCTAAGGACACAATGGCAGTTTGGCACTTTACAGCCGCAGCCGCCCCACTGTGGCACCTGCTGTTCCTGGAGGTTAAGTGTCTTGCCCAAAGACACGACAGCAGACAGAGGGAGTCGATGGAGAAAGTCTCGAGGTGGGATTGAACCCAATTTTTTTTGGGGTGGAATTGTGGGTGAATTCTATATCTGCCAATAAGACTGAATGGGAAAGAAACCATTTTTGAACGAAATGTTGAAAAAGCACATTTCTGAAAATCCTTTCTGCTGCCCAACATCACACATGTGCTGAATATTAGCCCCATTTCTAGATACTTTTGAGAAATACAACGTTGATATGCACTGACAAAGAGATTTTGTGGGGTGAGGACAGGGGGGATGTGGTTGATGGGGGGGGGGTGAGGACAGGGGGGATGTGGTTGATGGAGGGGGGTGAGGACAGGGGTGATGTGGTCGATGGAGGGGGGTGAGGACAGGGGGGATGTGGTTGATGGGGGAGGGGGGTGAGGACAGGGGGGATGTGGTCGATGGAGGGGGGTGAGGACAGGGGGGATGTGGTCGATGGAGGGGGGTGAGGACAGGGGGGATGTGGTTGATGGAGGGGGTGAGGACAGGGGTGATGTGGTCGATGGAGGGGGGTGAGGACAGGGGGGATGTGGTTGATGGGAGGGGGGTGAGGACAGGGGGGATGTGGTTGATGGAGGGGGGTGAGGACAGGGGGGATGTGGTTGATGGAGGGGGGTGAGGACAGGGGTGATGTGGTCGATGGAGGGGGGTGAGGACAGGGGGGATGTGGTTGATGGAGGGGGTGAGGACAGGGGTGATGTGGTCGATGGAGGGGGGTGAGGACAGGGGGGATGTGGTTGATGGAGGGGGGTGAGGACAGGGGGGATGTGGTTGATGGAGGGGGGTGAGGACAGGGGGGATGTGGTTGATGGAGGGGGGTGAGGACAGGGGGGATGTGGTTGATGGGGGGGGGGTGAGGACAGGGGGGATGTGGTTGATGGAGGGGGGTGAGGACAGGGGGGATGTGGTTGATGGGGGGGGGGGTGAGGACAGGGGGGATGTGGTTGATGGGGGGGGGGGGAGGACAGGGGGGATGTGGTTGATGGAGGGGGGTGAGGACAGGGGGGATGTGGTTGATGGAGGGGGTGAGGACAGGGGGGATGTGGTTGATGGGGGGGGGGGGTGAGGACAGGGGGGATGTGGTTGATGGAGGGGGGTGAGGACAGGGGTGATGTGGTCGATGGGGGGGGGTGAGGACAGGGGGGATGTGGTTGATGGAGGGGGGTGAGGACAGGGGGGATGTGGTTGATGGGGGGGGGGGTGAGGACAGGGGGGATGTGGTTGATGGAGGGGGGTGAGGACAGGGGTGATGTGGTCGATGGAGGGGGGTGAGGACAGGGGGGATGTGGTTGATGGAGGGGGGTGAGGACAGGGGTGATGTGGTCGATGGGGGGGGGTGAGGACAGGGGGGATGTGGTTGATGGGGGGGGGGGTGAGGACAGGGGGGATGTGGTTGATGGAGGGGGGGTGAGGACAGGGGGGATGTGGTTGATGGAGGGGGGTGAGGACAGGGGGATGTGGTTGATGGGGGGGGGTGAGGACAGGGGGGATGTGGTTGATGGAGGGGGGTGAGGACAGGGGGGATGTGGTTGATGGAGGGGGGTGAGGACAGGGGGGATGTGGTCGATGGAGGGGGGTGAGGACAGGGGGGATGTGGTCGATGGAGGGGGGTGAGGAGGACAGGGGGGATGTGGTCGATGGAGGGGGGTGAGGACAGGGGGGATGTGGTCGATGGAGGGGGTGAGGACAGGGGGGATGTGGTCGATGGAGGGGGGTGAGGACAGGGGGGATGTGGTCGATGGAGGGGGGTGAGGACAGGGGGGATGTGGTTGATGGAGGGGGGTGAGGACAGGGGGGATGTGGTTGATGGGGGGGGGTGAGGACAGGGGGATGTGGTTGATGGAGGGGGGTGAGGACAGGGGGGATGTGGTCGATGGAGGGGGGTGAGGACAGGGGGGATGTGGTCGATGGAGGGGGGTGAGGACAGGGGGGATGTGGTCGATGGAGGGGGGTGAGGACAGGGGGGATGTGGTCGATGGAGGGGGGTGAGGACAGGGGGGATGTGGTCGATGGAGGGGGGTGAGGACAGGGGTGATGTGGTCGATGGAGGGGGGTGAGGACAGGGGGGATGTGGTCGATGGAGGGGGGTGAGGACAGGGGGGATGTGGTCGATGGAGGGGGGTGAGGACAGGGGGGATGTGGTCGATGGAGGGGGGTGAGGACAGGGGGGATGTGGTCGATGGAGGGGGGTGAGGACAGGGGGGATGTGGTCGATGGAGGGGGGTGAGGACAGGGGTGATGTGGTCGATGGAGGGGGGTGAGGACAGGGGGGATGTGGTCGATGGAGGGGGGTGAGGACAGGGGGGATGTGGTCGATGGAGGGGGGTGAGGACAGGGGGGATGTGGTCGATGGAGGGGGGTGAGGACAGGGGGATGTGGTCGATGGAGGGGGGTGAGGACAGGGGGGATGTGGTCGATGGAGGGGGGTGAGGACAGGGGGGATGTGGTCGATGGAGGGGGGTGAGGACAGGGGGGATGTGGTCGATGGAGGGGGGTGAGGACAGGGGGGATGTGGTCGATGGAGGGGGGTGAGGACAGGGGGGATGTGGTCGATGGAGGGGGGTGAGGACAGGGGGATGTGGTCGATGGAGGGGGGTGAGGACAGGGGGGATGTGGTCGATGGGAGGGGGGTGAGGACAGGGGGGATGTGGTCGATGGAGGGGGGGAGGAGGACAGGGGGGATGTGGTCGATGGAGGGGGGTGAGGACAGGGGGGATGTGGTCGATGGAGGGGGGTGAGGACAGGGGGGGTGTGGTTGATGGGGGGGGGGTGAGGACAGGGGGGATGTGGTTGATGGAGGGGGGTGAGGACAGGGGGGATGTGGTCGATGGAGGGGGGTGAGGACAGGGGGGATGTGGTCGATGGAGGGGGGTGAGGACAGGGGGGATGTGGTCGATGGAGGGGGGTGAGGACAGGGGGGATGTGGTTGATGGGGGGGGGGGGTGAGGACAGGGGGGATGTGGTTGATGGAGGGGGGTGAGGACAGGGGGGATGTGGTCGATGGGGGGGGGTGAGGACAGGGGGGATGTGGTTGATGGAGGGGGGTGAGGACAGGGGGGGTGTGGTTGATGGGGGGGGGTGAGGACAGGGGGGATGTGGTCGATGGAGGGGGGTGAGGACAGGGGGGATGTGGTCGATGGAGGGGGGTGAGGACAGGGGGGATGTGGTCGATGGAGGGGGGTGAGGACAGGGGGGATGTGGTTGATGGAGGGGGGTGAGGACAGGGGGGATGTGGTCGATGGAGGGGGGTGAGGACAGGGGGGATGTGGTTGATGGAGGGGGGTGAGGACAGGGGGGATGTGGTCGATGGAGGGGGGTGAGGACAGGGGGGATGTGGTTGATGGAGGGGGGTGAGGACAGGGGGGATGTGGTTGATGGAGGGGGGTGAGGACAGGGGGATGTGGTCGATGGAGGGGGGTGAGGACAGGGGGGATGTGGTCGATGGAGGGGGGTGAGGACAGGGGGGATGTGGTCGATGGAGGGGGGTGAGGACAGGGGGGATGTGGTCGATGGAGGGGGGTGAGGACAGGGGGGATGTGGTCGATGGAGGGGGGTGAGGACAGGGGGATGTGGTCGATGGAGGGGGGTGAGGACAGGGGGGATGTGGTTGATGGGGGGGGGGTGAGGACAGGGGGGATGTGGTTGATGGAAGGGGTGAGGACAGGGGGGATGTGGTTGATGGAGGGGGGGGGGGGGTGAGGACAGGGGGGATGTGGTTGATGGGGGGGGGGTGAGGACAGGGGGGATGTGGTTGATGGAAGGGGTGAGGACAGGGGGGATGTGGTTGATGGAGGGGGGGGGGGGGGGTGAGGACAGGGGGGATGTGGTTGATGGGGGGGGGGTGAGGACAGGGGGGATGTGGTTGATGGGGGGGGGGTGAGGACAGGGGGGATGTGGTTGATGGAAGGGGTGAGGACAGGGGGGATGTGGTTGATGGAGGGGGGGGGGGGGTGAGGACAGGGGGGATGTGGTTGATGGGGGGGGGTGAGGACAGGGGGGATGTGGTTGATGGGGGGGGGGGGGGGGGGGGGGGGGTGTGATGAGACGGGCAGCAGTGTTTTGGACCAGTTGGAGTTTATGGAGATTTTTTGAGGTTTTTACTGTTCTGTTCAACACTACCTTCATTCTGTGAACTCTATTCACACCAGTGTTACAACATCACACTAGTTCAGTATCGCGATATTTTGCACACGCCATAAAATGGACACAGTAGAGCAAAGTATTGTGATATTTGATTAAATAATTATCTGTTTCACTTTAGTGTTTACTCAGGTTATTTACATCTGAGGCTTGTATCACTCTATGTCTGCTTTTATTCTAGTCCAGTCTCTATTGAATACTGTAAGTTCAGAGAGAATAACCATGTCTGTAGTAAAGTCCTGTGTCCTGAAAGTTCAAGGATAACGTTTTTACACTTCAGACCATAATAAATGTGACATTTGAGTTACTTTCCTTTGAATAACACGAGGGACATGGCTGTAGCGTGACGCAGACTCACGATGACCGGAGCGACCTGTTTGACTCCAGAGAGTTCTGTACGACTCATGCCTGTTCGACTCGTCTGTTTTCTGACTTGTAAAAAACCAAACAAACCTGAAACCGTGTAAATCCATTCTCCTCCAGCAGCAAATATAGAGCAGACCGAGGCGCGCTCCCACAACTTGATGTTCGCTTCAGGTTAACCCGTCTTCAGGATTCAGAGCGAGTCCCGCCATCTCGTCTAACGAAGCGGAAGAGACACGCTGATTTGCGAGGCGTCCTTCTCCGTTAGCGGCGGAGCTAATTGGGATCCTGCCAATCATCAGAGTTGCCACGGCGACGATGGGGATCAATGGACGAGCTGGCGTTTAGAAAGACGTATCCCTGAGACAGACGCGGCATCGCTCCAGGTGCCGCTTCTGTTTGACTCCTTTCTGCGCAGAAATGTCATTTTTGTACTCATCACTTCTGTGAATAAACTGCACAAAGGACAAGTTTGTTTCCTCTCGGTTTCATTCATTTGAGGCGATAGAATTTCCATAACAGGCCTCTTTAACACATTTCCCTTTTTATTGCTTTTAATTTTACACCATGGTTTCACTTAGGCCTTTTCACTTATGGATCCTATACACTTTATGGCCTTTACACTTATGGATCCTATACACTTTATGGCCTTTACCCTTATGGATCCTATACACTTTATGGCCTTTACACTTATGGATCCTATACACTTTATGGCCTTTACACTTATGGATCCTATACACTTTATGGCCTTTACCCTTATGGATCCTATACACTTTATGGCCTTTACACTTATGGATCCTATACACTTTATGGCCTTTACCCTTATGGATCCTATACACTTTATGGCCTTTACACTTATGGATCCTATACACTTTATGGCCTTTACCCTTATGGATCCTATACACTTTATGGCCTTTACACTTATGGATCCTATACACTTTATGGCCTTTACACTTATGGATCCTATACACTTTATGGCCTTTACCCTTATGGATCCTATACACTTTATGGCCTTTACACTTATGGATCCTATACACTTTATGGCCTTTACACTTATGGATCCTATACACTTTATGGCCTTTACACTTATGGATCCTACACACTTTATGGCCTTTACACTTATGGATCCTATACACTTTATGGCCTTTACACTTATGGATCCTCACTTATTTGAACACAATTTAGAGAGTTCGAGAGACCTCAAAAACAGACCAAAATTTAGCTAGTATCCAATTATGCAGACTTTACATATAAAAAGGTGTCTGCTTACCTTATTCTTGTCAAACAGGTGCATGCACGGACTGTCCGAGAGGTCTGCCAACTCTTTTCCGCGTCGGAATATTCAATTTAAAAAACAAAAGTGACAGAAGCGACAAGAAGCATCCAGGAACAGCTCTTCCAGCCTGCTGGAATCTCCGCTCCCAGACACAGCATGCCGGTCTCTCACGCCGAGGAAAAGAAACAAAGAAAACTCCCTCAAAACAATCCAGAGAATGGCGCACACTGAGCCGCGCATTCTCCACCAAATCTGTCAGGGATGAAGCAGACAGACGGATCGTGGTGTGCCAAACTCTGGAAGTTTATGTAAGTTTCTCTCAAGTTCCACTGGTTTCCATTGCTTCTTTCTCTCAGACAGAATAAAGGCAGTACACAGTTTATATAGTCATTGTCACGTCACACATCGAAAGACGTGTCACACAGAGACAGTCACATCATAGTCATAATAATCAGAGTCCTTGTAGAGTCCTGCACGTAGGCCATATTGCTATCTAATACTAACAGTCTTTGTCAGAGAGCACTGAAGAAGTGAGGCAAGTTACAGTAGACACAGGTACAGTAGATACAGTAGACACTGGTACAGTAGACACAGGTACAGTAGACACAGGTACAGTAGATACAGGTACAGTAGGCACAGATACAGTAGACACAGGTACAGTAGACAACAGACTTTCAGAATCATAACACAGTGTCCTGCTCAGACTGCAGTACCTGCTGCGGCCGAGGGAGGGCGCCATGAGTCAGTCTACAATACAATACAATCCAATGTATTGTTGTATAGCCCTAGGTCACAACAGAAGTCATCTCAGAGACTTAACAAAACCATTGAAATCACCAACACAGGTCAGAGAATCAACAGTTAAAACACATGAAGAATATAAAGCACACACAGAAGAAAATGTCCATACATGTTGTAGAATGCTAAAGTGTCCTGATCATCACCAATCCTTTCTGTTGGACACTAACTGTCCAACAAGACCCTCCTGCATCCACAAGGAACAACTCTTAAAAAACCCAGTGGGAAAAAGTGAGAAACCTTGGGGAGCACTAGGGAAACCCACAGGGAGGGAGACCCATATGAGAAAGGGATCCGCTCCTCCGGACGGACAGACTAATGATCCAGGACCTAAGCTAGCTACAGAACGTGGACCAGTGGACGCTGAACGTGGACAGGTCCGGTGCAGGACTGAAGCACTCCCAGGCGGGTCAGGCGGGGCAGTCCGCAGGTGTAGATGGAGGAGGCCAGGCTCAGAGATCCCGTCATCGTACCATGAAACAGACAATGGGACAACGGGTGAATAGCAATGAACAAACTACAGTCAGAATCCTAAAAGTGCTAAACAGATATAGTAGATAAAGTAGGAAGGAGGAGAGGATAGTGCTCAAGTTACCACACTTCTCCAGCAGGGGGCGCCCTATGCAGCTTGACTGACAGTCTGAGGAGTTTAACCTTCCCTGAGTCTTACCTTCCTAGCCATATGCTAAACTAAAGAGGACTGTTTTAAACCTAGCCTTGAATAAAGAGAGCGTATCTGAAAGGAGGCGAGACAGCAGCAGCCACGGCTAGGCTAGCCCAGGCTACAGCACCAAGACTCATGGATTGCACACCAGGTGTGCCAAACCGATCCAAGCACACCTAATTATATATTATATATACTATACATCATATATACCATACATACCATATATATCATATATAACATAATATACAACATAACACAATACATTATTGTATAATATATAACATAATATACAGCATAATAGATAGATAGATAGATAAATACTTTATTCATCCCAGCGAGGGGAAATTCAGTCAATTTCAATATATAAATATATATATATGTATATATGTTATATATTTTCAATATATAACATAATATACAACATAACACAATACACAACGTAATACATTATTGAATAATATATAACATAATATATAACATAATACAGCATATATATATATATATATATATACACCATATATTATATATGACCTAATTATATGCTAAATTAAAGTAGAGTGCTTTAAGCCTGGCCTTGAATGTGGAGACCGTATCTGCTTCCTTAACATAAATGAAGCTGATTCCACAGTAAAGGAGCTTGGAGCTAAATGCTCTGCCACCAACAGTGACCTTTGAGACCTTAGGGACCACCAGACGTCTGGCGTTTTGTGAGCGCAACGCTTGACTTGGTTGATACGACACTAACGTGTCTTGGAGATAAGAAGGAGCCAAGCCATTTATGGCTTTATATGTTAAGAGAAGGATTTTAAACTTTATTCTGTACTCCACAGGGAGCCAGTGGAGTGATTTTAACACCGGAGTTATGTGCTCCCTCCTTTTGGTGCCTGTTAAGATCCTAGCTGCTGTATTCTGAACGAGCTGGAAGCTCTTCAAAGAGGCTTTAGGGCACGCTGCCAGTAAAGCGTTACAGTAGTCGAGCCTTGAGGCGACAAACGCGTGAATGAGTTTTTCCGCGTCACTTTTAGGAAATTCCTAATTTTAGCGATGTTCCGTAAGTGGAAGTACGCCGTTTTAGTTGCTTGGCTTATATAAGCCTTGAAGGGGAGTTCTTGGTCAAAAATGACTCCAAGATTCCTCACAGTGTTACTGGGTATAATACTGACATTATCAGAGTAATTATCTGGTTAGTGAGGGAGTCACGCAGGCGCTTCGGACCGAGTAGGATCACTTCTGTCTTCTCCGGGTTGAGAAGTAGGAAGTTAAGAGTCATCCATATTTTAAGGTCCTTTATGCAGGCACTGAGCTTTTCTAGCTGATCTGTCTGATTAGGCTTCATCGACAGATAAAGCTGTGTGTCATCTGCATAGCAGTGGAAATTAATTCCATGCTTTTTAATAATGTTTCCCAGTGGCAGCATGTAGAGAGTAAAAAGAATCGGTCCGAGTACCGAACCCTGCGGCACACCGAATTCTACTCCAGAATAAGGCGACGAGTTCTGATTTACGTTGACGAAGTGATACCGATCTGATAAATAGGATTTAAACCAGCCAAGGGCTGTTCCTCTAAGACCTATATCACATTCTAGCCTCTGCAGTAGAATGCTGTGGTCTATTGTGTCAAATGCAGCACTAAGGTCCAGTAGGACCAGCACTAACACTTGTCCATTATCAGCAGCTAGTAGTAAGTCATTTGTGACTTTGACTAGTGCCGTTTCAGTGCTATGATGAGCTCTGAATCCTGATTGAAAGACTTCAAACATATTATTTTCCTGCAGGTGGCAGCGAAGCTGCTCAGCTATAAGTTTTTCCAGGATTTTAGATATGAAAGTGAGGTTTGAGATCGGTCTGTAGTTTGTAAGTATTTCTGGGTCCAGGTTTGTTTTCTTCAGAAGGGGTTTGATTACCGCGGTTTTAAAAGCTTGTGGGACATAGCCACATTGTATGGATGCGTTTATTATATTTACGATAGGCTCAATTATCAAAGGAAGTATGTCTTTGAAGAGCCATGTCGGGACTGCGTCTAACATGCAAGTTGAGGCTTTTGAGGATGTGACCACAGAGATCACCTCTGCTTGGCTCACAGCCATGAATTTATTAAGGCCCACTGAAGAGTCTAAGTGGGAAGTCACGTATGCCGCTTCAACCTGTCCACCACTAACAGCAGGAGCAACCTCCTCCAGCTTGTCACGGATGGATGTCATTTTATTATTAAAGAAGTGGAGAAAGTCGACACTGCTCAGTGAGCTTGGAATTTTAGGCTCGATTGCGCTATGGCAGTTTGTGAGTTTAGCGACGGTGCCAAACAAAAATCTACTGTTGTTTTTATTCGCTTCTATTAAAGTTGAATAGTATTGAGTTCGAGCCCCGCGAAGGGCCTTCTTATAGTTTCGGAGACCTGCTTTCCACTCCCTGTGGACAGGCTCCGAGTGGGAGTGGCGATATAGCCTCTCCAATTTTCTGACGTCCTGTTTTAAAGTGTGGAGTTGAACACTGTACCAGGGCGACGATGATCTAATCCTAATGGTTTTCTGTTTTAAAGGAGCTGCTGCATTTAATGCAGATTTTAAAGACTCCATAGTGTTGCCCACCGTTTGGTCAATGACTGAGGGACTGCAGCTGCTGTGAACAGGTTCACCTGCAGCAGTATTCAACATAGGCTGTATTAGTTCTTTGAACCTTGTGATAGATTTATCATCTAAGGTTCTTTTCATTATGGTTTTATCTTGCGGGACAGGAAAGTCCTCCAAAGCGAGATCAAACGTGATCAAGAAATGGTCAGACAGCAACGAGCTTTGACGCTGGATGTCAACATTGGAGACATCACAGCCGTAGGTCAGGACAAGGTCCAAGGTGTGGTTATGAATGTGAGTAGGTTCCTCAACATTCTGAGTAAAACCAACACCATCTAGTACGGCGCTGAAAGCTTTGTTTAAGCTGTCAGTGCTGTCGTCCACATGTATATTGAAGTCTCCGGTTATAACTATGTTTTCCCATTCCAAAACTAGGTTTGAAATGAAGTCAGAGAATTCTGTTAGGAACTCGCTGTAAGGACCAGGAGGTCGGTATAAAACTATAAATAGTACTGCTTTTTGTTTTCTCCACCCAGGACAGGTGATTGAAAGTGTTAAGTTTTCAAACGAGTGAAAAGCATTGTTGGTTTTGGGGCTAAGAACTAAGTTGGTGTGTGATATAATCGCAACACCACCGCCGCGACCTGTAGCTCTGGCTTTCTGGTAGTTAACATGCGTCGGAGGAGTGCACTCATTCAATCTAACGTACTCGTCCTGTTGGAGCCAAGTCTCCGAGAGCGCTAACAGATCCAAGCCCTTGTCTATAATAAGTTCGTTTATGAGAAGCGATTTAGACGAGATTGATCTGACGTTCATTAAACCACATTTAACAACCCTACTGTTAGAACTATTTCTGTCTGTCTGAACTTTTATTAAGTTACTGTGTCTGACACCCAGGTCAGATTTCCTCGCATATAGTGTATAGTTTATTTCGAAAGTGGAACTGCAGCCTCTCCCACTCTCCCTGACTCAGGTTGCCAGATATGCAGACGAATCCAGCTGGGACCATAACAGCTGAATAGACAAAAACAAATCTATAACCAACACCTTTTTCACAAAGATAGAAATCCTGGTTTTATTCCTTGTTTTGTCGTTAATGATTTGAGAATCATAACGAGACCTTTTTTAGTTCTGCGCCACATGGTACTTTACCAGTGAGATTAGCTCCACATGGTACTTTACCAGTGAGATTAGCTCCACATGGTGAGTTCTGGCGCCCGGATCACAGACTTTCTGATTGGTGAAACGGTGGAGGGCGGGACATCGAAATGAAAACAATAACAAGATTTAGAGGCTGGAAAAGTAATGTATGAATCCAAATATCTCTGAACTACTGTTATCAGTTAAAGAAGTATTGGAAAAGAGCCCTTTAATGATGACTTTACATGAAAATATTGTTATTGCTACTTTAAAGTATTGATTTATTTATTTGAATGTTATTCTTCTGTGTTGGTTCCAATTTTAGTTCTTGAGTCACAGCTAGAAAGTTGGGTAACCTGTGTTTTGTAAAACATAAGTTTTTGAAGCTACTTTTTTCTCAATCTCGCGAGTTACCCTATCGATCAAAGGAATTGCTAACCCCAGACGCTACAGAAAAAGGCTGAATGATTCATGTGCCAGGACTCCGAGCGGCACACACGGGGAACCATGAGCTGTCAATTTCGTTGCGATCTTAGTTCAGATCGAACACACTCGTACACATTTCCTTGGCTCTTAAATGCAAATTCTCCGACATAATCCTGCAGTCTACATGGGATTAATGCAACCCACATCTTACCCTGACCCTTGGGACCCATGAGATGAAGTCATAAAGCCCGGCGGAACAGCTTCACCTGACCTCCACCCTCAGCTTCTGTCCTCTTCACCTGACCTCCACCTTTACCTTCTACAGCGGAACAGCTTCACCTGACCTCCACCCTCAGCTTCTGTCCTCTTCACCTGACCTCCACCTTTACCTTCTACAGCAGAACAGCTTCACCTGACCTCCACCCTTACCTTCTGTCCATCTGTATGCACGGCGGCTCCTTCACGGGGTCAGTGTTGATTACGGCGGCTCCTTCACGGGGTCAGTGTTGATTACGGCGGCTCCTTCACCGGGTCAGTGTTGATTACGGCGGCTCCTTCACCGGGTCAGTGTTGATTACGGCGGCTCCTTCACCGGGTCAGTGTTGATCACGGCGGCTCCTTCACGGGGTCAGTGTTGATTACGGCGGCTCCTTCACGGGGTCAGTGTTGATTACGGCGGCTCCTTCACCGGGTCAGTGTTGATTACGGCGGCTCCTTCACCGGGTCAGTGTTGATTACGGCGGCTCCTTCACCGGGTCAGTGTTGATCACGGCGGCTCCTTCACCGGGTCAGTGTTGATCACGGCGGCTCCTTCACCGGGTCAGTGTTGATTACGGCGGCTCCTTCACCGGGTCAGTGTTGATTACGGCGGCTCCTTCACCGGGTCAGTGTTGATTACGGCGGCTCCTTCACCGGGTCAGTGTTGATCACGGCGGCTCCTTCACCGGGTCAGTGTTGATCACGGCGGCTCCTTCACCGGGTCAGTGTTGATCACGGCGGCTCCTTCACCGGGTCAGTGTTGATTACGGCGGCTCCTTCACCGGGTCAGTGTTGATTACGGCGGCTCCTTCACCGGGTCAGTGTTGATTACGGCGGCTCCTTCACCGGGTCAGTGTTGATCACGGCGGCTCCTTCACCGGGTCAGTGTTGATCACGGCGGCTCCTTCACCGGGTCAGTGTTGATTACGGCGGCTCCTTCACCGGGTCAGTGTTGATTACGGCGGCTCCTTCACCGGGTCAGTGTTGATCACGGCGGCTCCTTCACCGGGTCAGTGTTGATCAAGAGCACGTATGCAGGTTTCGCCCTTGCTTTGAAACAGCAAGGATTTGTTTTTTAGCTTTACTGTTTTCTCGGAGGTGTCGAGGGAAGAGGATCAGAAAGGATCAGAAAGCGGCGTTCTGGTTCTGGTAGCTTTGCCGTGGAGGAGACTACACTGTTTTAATATATGAGGAAGTCATTGCTTGAATCATGTGGTTTTTAACTTAGTTTGAGTCGATTCTGAGAGTCTTAAAACAAGTTTTGCCAACTGGACAAAGCCATTGAGTGATATTTCCAATGTGTTATTTCTCATTCCAAGTGAGAGATATTTTGTGTTTTGTTCTAAAACAAGATCATATTGCTTGTCCAATTTACAAACCTTGTTTTACGGCAGTCAAAATGTTGCCAAATTTGAGCTATTTTTGACTTATTTTTCATCACTTTTTGTCGTGTACATACATTTTTCTTCTTAAAGATACAAATACCCTCCCACATAAGACACTTGATGAAGGGAAACCAAATCATGAATGGATGGAGTAGCCAAAATTGTGAATAAAATAGTAAATTGTGTCGATCCCCAGTCTGCCCATCCTTAAATAGTTGGATTGTCAGTGATTTACATTATTAACCCTTTATGTTCACTCCTTGAAGAAAGATGTAATTTGATCTTGTTTGCATTTTCTAAGATGTAGGAGCACTAATAACACAAATAAGTTTTTTTAACCTCTAGTTTTTTTATTCTAGGCCCCAGATGCAGTTGGAAGGTAAAAGTGCTAAAAAGCAAAGTGAAATTCCCCAAAGAGGTAGACGTCCTTTTCCAAGCTTCAAGTTGATGCAGTGACTCAAAACGTGATCCACAAATGGTTGAGGAAACCATTAAAGGGTTAAAGGAGGGAGTGCCATGGAAACATATCAGAAAAGCTGACCATTTTCTCTTTACCAAGTAGTTTTGTGAAAAGCCAGATCCATTAATGTGCCATACAAATAAAGTTTCACCCTTTCTTGAGCCAAATCTGTTAAGTGTGCTGTCATTGACAGAACAAGTCGGAGATTGTAACTAGTGGAACACAATATTTGGACAACATTTCAAATCGGAGATATCTGTTTTTGCGAACCCTTCACTTATGGACATTGGTCTCTGCCCCTTTAATCATCGCATTTCTTGTGTTTGACAAATCGACAGCTTTGTAAAATCTTCCGAGATAACTGCTGTTGTGATTAAGGGCTGTGCCAAAATGAATTGAATGAAATTGAATTAGATGTGATTTTGTGTTTTGCTTGAGTGTGTTCAGGTGTAGCTCTAAGCCCTCTTGCATTACATCCCATTACATCTCATTACATACCTTAGGAACAGACTGCGAGGGAAGCGGGCCAAGTGGAAGAGTATGGAGCTGGAGCTGAAGCTGAAGCTGAAGCTGAAGCTGGAGCTGGAGCTGGAGCTGGAGCCTCTTTATGATGCAGGGCGCTTGCCGTGTTCCAGGAAAAGGATTAGCGAGGTGTACCATGGTTCTGGCAGCGCTGTGCAAAGTAGGACACAGGCTGACTTTATATTCACATGACGGCTTCTTCTCTGGGTTAATCTTTGCAAGTGTCAGATCGTTCTCATCCGCCTTTGGGCTTGGGTTATGCGTTCGCCGTCAATGAAATGATGCACGATACCTTATCTCGGTCTTATTTATTCAATAACAGGTGTCTCGCTCTGAGATAGCTCGAAAAAACATACCTGCTTGTACTGACTGAAGACTCAGCATAGATACTGTGCAAATGTAATAAAAGCTCAGGTATTGGTCATTTCCGTACAGCAGTCTCAGTTTTTAAGCCCAGGATCAAGGTCAGCAAGATTCAATTCAATTTATTTTTGTCAAGCCCTAAATCACAACTGTAGTTATCTCGGAGGACTATACAAAGTTCGCAAACACAGATCAGAGAATCAGGAAAAAACACAGGAAATGCAATGATAAAAAACACTTTTAAGATCCTGTGTTTGTCCCACAGTGGGGAAATGTCAGTGTTGCATCACCAGTTATAGAACAGTAGGAATGAGGAGCACACAGCACAGGATAAATGAACAATAACTATTCTAAATGATAAAACATACATGTACATGTTAGCGAGGGTCTGGGACAATCGTCTTCAGTAAAGTCATATAAACTGTATGTTCAGGTAAACTAATGTTATGTACTCACAGCGACGGTGATATGCTCAGAATTATATTTGTTTGTCTTTATTGTCAAATATTTGTGGAAATCCGCTGCTCAGCTATGAAGACACACCAGAGAGTTTAGTCGCTGTAATGGTGCCCACAGACCAAATGGACCAGTTCCTTTCCATCTGTGGGGGATGTAGGACCAGCACTTTTTTGAACCAGCAAATTCAACAGCTGCCGTTTTGGAGTGTCGATATAACTGCAGTCAACAATCGAGCTCCGACACCTCCATCCAAGCATCTCCCCAAAGGATTCAGAAAGTATTCAAAAAATACATGCCTCCATCTGTTGTGAATAAGTGCAGAATAAAACCCATGCAAGCCTAGCTCTTCATCATATTCAAGAATGTATTTATTTATTTGGATTTAGGACAGTTCATATTCATCAATGTGTCTGCAAACAGCAACACAAACACACAGTTAGAAACACACAAACACACAGTTAGAAACACACAAACACACAGTTAGAGACACACAAACACACAGTTAGAAACACACAAACACACAGTTAGAAACACACAAACACACAGTTAGAGACACACAAACACACAGTTAGAAACACACAAACACACAGTTAGAAACACACAAACACACAGTTAGAAACACACAAACACACAGTTAGAAACACACAAACACACAGTTAGAGACACACAAACACACAGTTAGAAACACACAAACACACAGTTAGAGACACACAAACACACAGTTAGAAACACACAAACACACAGTTAGAAACACACAAACACACAGTTAGAGACACACAAACACACAGTTAGAGACACACAAACACACAGTTAGAAACACACAAACACACAGTTAGAAACACACAAACACACAGTTAGAAACACACAAACACACAGTTAGAGACACACAAACACACAGTTAGAGACACACAAACACACAGTTAGAAACACACAAACACACAGTTAGAGACACACAAACACACAGTTAGAAACACACAAACACACAGTTAGAGACACACAAACACACAGTTAGAAACACACAAACACACAGTTAGAGACACACAAACACACAGTTAGAAACACACAAACACACAGTTAGAAACACACAAACACACAGTTAGAGACACACAAACACACAGTTAGAGACACACAAACACACAGTTAGAAACACACAAACACACAGTTAGAAACACACAAACACACAGTTAGAAACACACAAACACACAGTTAGAGACACACAAACACACAGTTAGAGACACACAAACACACAGTTAGAAACACACAAACACACAGTTAGAGACACACAAACACACAGTTAGAAACACACAAACACACAGTTAGAAACACACAAACATACAGTTAGAAACACACAAACACACAGTTAGAGACACACAAACACACAGTTAGAAACACACAAACACACAGTTAGAAACACACAGTTAGAGACACACAAACACACAGTTAGAAACACACAAACACACAGTTAGAAACACACAGTTAGAGACACACAAACACACAGTTAGAAACACACAAACACACAGTTAGAAATACACAAACACACAGTTAGAAACACACAAACACACAGTTGGGTAAAAGTACAAACAATAAGTCGACAAGCACAACATAACAAATTTAAAAGAGAAAGTCCAAGAGAGAGCAGATCTTCATCTATGGGAGCATGACTGGTCTGACTTCAGCCAAGGTTTAAAGGAGTTATACCCGGTTTATTTTCTAATGAGTTCATATAAATGCTCATTACTACAGACAAGTTGTATTATAATCTGTAATTTATTGTAAAACTTGAGCTCATTGATTCAGCTGTGTATGAATAAGTAGAGACTTAGCGTGACGCCCGCTCTCCTCCAATCACAGAGTGAGGCTGCGTCCTCTAGCCTCTACAGCGCTGCTAAACACAGTAGCATGTTAGCATAAGTGGCTATAACTCCTCTGGTTGTAACTGCAGACACAGAAAAACAGCCCAAACCAGAGCGTAGGGGAAATGAGAACCCTGTGAGCGAGTTGGGGGCGGGGCTAAACATTCAAACCTCGCAGAAACGGGTATAGCTTCTTTAAGGACTCCTATTTGCCATTTGCAGTAAAACCACATTGGAAAAACTGTGCAAGACTACTCCAGTGTACTCCAGACGGCACACACTACGATTTGCTGAGATTTAAATAGGACTTGACTTGGACTTTGAGACTTGAGGTGTCCGTCTGATCGTTCTCCAGGACCCATGACGCTGTAGTCCTCTGAGCAGGCTCATCTCACCACAGCCAAATCTATGCTGTTGGATTTCTCTGTATTTGCTCTAAATCCAATAATTCCTCAATGTGACACAAGCAGATTTATGTTCTTTATGTTCTGCTCCTGCTGCGGGTGATTTGTACCTCGGAGTTTATGAGGCGCCGCTGTGGCTTGGCTGCTCCCTCACAGCGCTGCACTCACACACATACAGGCTCAGGTCTGTGCTCCCTGTATGCAAGTGTGTGTGTGTGTTTTTGTGTGTTTTTGTGTGTGTGTGTGTGTGTGTGTGTGCGTGCGCGTGTGTGTGTGTGTGTGTGTGGACCACCAGCTGTTCCCAAACGCTGTCCTGCCCCCACTGTCTGAGCAGGAGATAATAATGTGCAGGTTTTACAGTGTGTTCTCTTGCATTATGGGCCGGGGGACTTTGGTCTTGAGTTTATTAGTGTGCCTTGGAAATGATCCGATATCACCTGCTCGGGTCATAATCATGTGAAAAGATAATATCATGAGATGATTAGAAAGATGTTTTTGAGCTTGTTTGATTTAATACACATGGATGAATGACTTTGTTAATGAAAGGCTGGAGAGTTTACATTTTCGATCAAAGTCAGTTGTTGGTGAACCATGTGATTCTTTTGCAGTGACAAACGTGTGCCACGGCTCAGAAAGTTTGGGGATCACTGACGTAGACCGAGGGGACGAACACTAAGTTCCTAAACTGGGTTAGACACACACGCTCCTCTTTGTGTGATTTTAGCATTAGCTGTTGCTATGGAAACAATAAGTGAGGATTATTTCTACAGAGCATTTCACAAACCAAGGTTACACAAAGCACTTAACAACCCTGGTGTACCGCACACTCTCGTTAGGAACCAGAATTATGAATGTACTTTGAAAATGTACTTTTTATCTGTGATATGTTCAGGCAGAAGGAGCACTTACTCCATAAACAATGAGAGTCACAGAACAGCCGCATTAAACCAGTTTGAAGCGGTTCTAACTGATAAAAAGACCTTCCCCATAGTGCGATGCTCACCCCCGATGAAGACCAACAGGGAAGTGCTCATGGACAAAGTTTGGCTCCACCTCACTCTGGCTCCTCCAGATCAGTTTGTGCTACACTCATCATCTTGGACTTAATGAATCTGTGGTTTAGTGCTCTCTGTGATCCTTCATGTGTTTGTTTTTAATTCTCTTTTGATTGAATGTTTTTAAACTTGTTTGAAATATGTTTTTCTTATTTCCAGACAGCTTAGATTAAAAGAAGTGTCTTATTCTATATTTGAAGAAAACGTTTATCAAAAATGTTTAAGAAATAAGTAAATAATGCTTTTAAATGTAGGATTATTTTTCTAGAATCTAGTCATTTGGGGCTGGTCTTACTTTCAGAAGTTGTATTTTTTGTTTTATTGGCAGATCATTTTTCTTATTTATTTATAGTTTATTTGGTTGGAACATTACATGTTCATGAACACATCAGAGCAAAACAGGGAGAAGTGACAGGCCTTACTTGCATGCAAAAGCCAGATCCTGTCAGACCTCTGAAGCTAAGCAGGGCAGGGCCTGGTCAGTACTGTAATGGGAGACCTATGAGAATGGCTGTAAAGTGCCAAAGTTTACAGCCAGGACAAAACTGAGGTTTTAGTCCTGAGGCCCAGAGAGAGAAACTTTTACCGAAACTCCAATCACACTCTTTTAATCCATCATCACAAGTGAAAAACCTGGGCGTAATCTTTGACTCTGAGCTGACTTTTATTCCTCACATCAAGAACATCACAAAAATAGGTTTTTATCATTTAAAGAACATCGCCAGAGTCCGCCCCATTCTCTCTCGGGGCAACACGGAGACGCTGATGCTTTTATCACCAGTCGCATTGACTATTGTAATGCCCTGCTCTCTGGTCTTCCCAAAAAGAACATTGCAAGTCTTCAATTACTCCAAAACTCGGCCGCAAGTGTCCTGACTAAGACCAGGGGGCGTGTCCTGACTAAGACCAGGGGGCGTGTCCTGACTAAGACCAGGGGGCGTGTCCTGACTAAGACTAGGGGGCGTGTCCTGACTAAGACCAGGGGGCGGGGCCTGACTAAGACCAGGGGGCGTGTCCTGACTAAGACCAGGGGGCGTGTCCTGACTAAGACCAGGGGGCGGGGCCTGACTAAGACCAGGGGGCGGGGCCTGACTAAGACCAGGGGGCGGGACCACATTACACCGGTTTTAAAATCGCTGCATTGGCTCCCCGTGTGTTTCAGGATCGATTTTAAGGTTCTTTTAATGGTTTTTAAATGTCTTAATGGTCTTGGGCCTTCTTATCTTTCAGATTTGCTTTTATCCTATGAACCTTCCCGGCCCCTGCGCTCCTCCGGCAGCAGACTCCTAACTATCCCCAAAGTCAGGACACACACTCACACAGACACACACACTCGCACAGACACACACACAGACACACACACACACACTCGCACAGACACACACACAGACACACACACTCACGGTGAGGCATCTTTCCAGCACTACGGCCCCCGTCTCTGGAACAGTCTGAGGAGGAGCTCAGGGCCAAAGAGAACATTCATATTTTTAAGAGTAGGCTCAAGACGCACCTTTTTAGAGCAGCTTTTGATTAGTATTTATTATTTATTATTGCTTTTTAGTACATCTATTTATGTTTTTAGACACATTATATTTTTATTTATTTTTATGATTTACTATTTTTAATTATTTATTGTATCTACCCATTTACTATTGTTATTATCAATATTAGGCAACTGCCATTTTTCTTTTTATTGTCACATTTTATTGTTCTACTTTCTATTGTATTATTGTATTGTTTTAGTGTCCCCAGTGTTTCCTCTGGAGGAGCCCTCTGCACTGGGAGCTGGGGTCTGCTGTGGCTTCGGGGGACTGGCTCTTGGATCCAGTGGGGGTCTGGGGCCTCCTCTCTCCTCTGGGTCCTATGGGGTCTGAGTCCTGGGCCTGGTGGGGTCTAGGGCCCCTCTCTCCTCTGGGTCCTATGGGGTCTGAGTCCTGGGCCTGGTGGGGTCTGGGGCCCCTCTCTCCTCTGGGTCCTATGGGGTCTGAGTCCTGGGCCTGGTGGGGTCTGGGGCCCCTCTCTCCTCTGGGTCCTATGGGGTCTGAGTCCTGGGCCTGGTGGGGTCTGGGGCCCCTCTCTCCTCTGGGTCCTATGGGGTCTGAGTCCTGGGCCTGGTGGGGTCTGGGGCCTCCTCTCTCCTCTGGGTCCTATGGGGTCTGAGTCCTGGGCCTGGTGGGGTCTAGGGCCCCTCTCTCCTCTGGGTCCTATGGGGTCTGAGTCCTGGGCCTGGTGGGGTCTGGGGCCCCTCTCTCCTCTGGGTCCTATGGGGTCTGAGTCCTGGGCCTGGTGGGGTCTGGGGCCCCTCTCTCCTCTGGGTCCTATGGGGTCTGAGTCCTGGGCCTGGTGGGGTCTGGGGCCCCTCTCTCCTCTGGGTCCTATGGGGTCTGAGTCCTGGGCCTGGTGGGGTCTGGGGCCCCTCTCTCCTCTGGGTCCTATGGGGTCTGAGTCCTGGGCCTGGTGGAGTCTGGGGCCCCTCTCTCCTCTGGGTCCTATGGGGTCTGAGTCCTGGGCCTGGTGGGGCCTGGGGCCCCTCTCTCCTCTGGGTCCTATGGGGTCTGACTCCTGGGCCTGGTGGGGTCTGGGGCCTCCTCTCTCCTCTGGGTCCTATGGGGTCTGAGTCCTGGGCCTGGTGGGGTCTGGGGCCCCTCTCTCCTCTGGGTCCTATGGGGTCTGAGTCCTGGGCCTGGTGGGGTCTAGGGCCCCTCTCTCCTCTGGGTCCTATGGGGTCTGAGTCCTGGGCCTGGTGGGGCCTGGGGCCCCTCTCTCCTCTGGGTCCTATGGGGTCTGAGTCCTGGGCCTGGTGGGGTCTGGGGCCCCTCTCTCCTCTGGGTCCTATGGGGTCTGAGTCCTGGGCCTGGTGGGGCCTGGGGCCCCTCTCTCCTCTGGGTCCTATGGGGTCTGAGTCCTGGGCCTGGTGGGGTCTAGGGCCCCTCTCTCCTCTGGGTCCTATGGGGTCTGAGTCCTGGGCCTGGTGGGGTCTGGGGCCCCTCTCTCCTCTGGGTCCTATGGGGTCTGAGTCCTGGGCCTGGTGGGGTCTGGGGCCCCTCTCTCCTCTGGGTCCTATGGGGTCTGAGTCCTGGGCCTGGTGGGGTCTAGGGCCCCTCTCTCTCCTCTGGGTCCTATGGGGTCTGAGTCCTGGGCCTGGTGGGGTCTGGGGCCCCTCTCTCCTCTGGGTCCTATGGGGTCTGAGTCCTGGGCCTGGTGGGGCCTGGGGCCCCTCTCTCCTCTGGGTCCTATGGGGTCTGAGTCCTGGGCCTGGTGGGGTCTGGGGCCCCTCTCTCCTCTGGGTCCTATGGGGTCTGAGTCCTGGGCCTGGTGGGGTCTGGGGCCCCTCTCTCCTCTGGGTCCTATGGGGTCGGAGTCCTGGGCCTGGTGGGGTCTGGGGCCCCTCTCTCCTCTGGGTCCTATGGGGTCTGAGTCCTGGGCCTGGTGGGGCCTGGGGCCCCTCTCTCCTCTGGGTCCTATGGGGTCTGAGTCCTGGGCCTGGTGGGGTCTGGGGCCCCTCTCTCCTCTGGGTCCTATGGGGTCTGAGTCCTGGGCCTGGTGGGGTCTGGGGCCCCTCTCTCCTCTGGGTCCTATGGGGTCTGAGTCCTGGGCCTGGTGGGGTCTGGGGCCCCTCTCTCCTCTGGGTCCTATGAGGGTCAGAGTCCGGGGCCTCGGTGGGGTTTCCCGCCCCCCCCCCCCCACCCCTCCCCCACCCCCCCCCTGATCGCCCACATCCCCCCCCCCCGCGCGCCCCCCCGCCGCCCCACCCCGCCCTGCCCCCCCGCCCCCCCCCCCCCAGCCCGCTCACCCCCCGTCCGCACCGCCCTACGCCCTCCTCCCCCCTGCATCATCTCCCCCCCCGCCCCCGCCTCCACATTTCGCATCCCCCGCCCCCTCTACCCCCCCACCCTCTCTCCCCACCCTCCCGCCCCCGCCCCACGGACCACCCTCTCCCCCTTCCCCCCTGCCCCTCCAACTCCTCTACCCCCTCCCCCTCCCCCCTTACCTCCCTCCGCCTACCATCTCCCCGGTCCTCTGCCCCCCCCGACCCCCCACCCCACGCCCCGTCCCTACCCCCCCCCTGCTCGGCCCCCCCCCCCCCCCCTTCTCCCCCTCCCCCCCACCCTTCCCCCCTCCCTCCCCCCCTCTCCCCCCCTCTCCTCCCCCCCCCCTCACCGTCGGTCTTCCCCCCCCCCCCCCCCCCCCTCCTCCTTACTCCGTTTCCGCCACCCCCCCGCTCGGCCCCCCTGCCCCCTCCCACTCAGCTACCGCCCTCTCCTCCCCCTCCCCCGCTCCCCCCGTACCCTCCCCCCTCCTCTCCTCCCCGCCTCCCCCTTCTACCCCCCCCCACCCGTCGCCCCCCGCCTCTGCCCCCCCCCCACCCCCTTCCCCCCCCATCCCGTCCCTCCTTCCCCTCCCCCTCGGCCCCCCCCCCACCTCCCCCCCCCCCCCCACCCCCCCCCCTCCGCCCCCCCCTCCCTCGTCACCTCCCCATACATTCTCCACCCTCCCCCCCCTCCCGCCGCCCCAGCCCCCCGCCCCCCCCCGTATCCCAGCACACCCCCTCCCCCCCTCCATGCCCTGCCTGCCCCCCCCCCCCTCCACCCCTTTCCCCCCCCCCCGCGCCTCCCCTCCACCCCCCCCCCCGCCCCGCGCTCCCTCCCGCGATCCCGTCCCCCCCTACCCCCACCCCCGTCTCCTCCTCCCCACGCGCCCCCTCGTCCCCCCCCCTCCCCGGGGCGTCCCCCCCCCCTGCGCTCCCCCCACCCCCACCTCCTACCCCCCCCCCCCCGCTCCCCGCCCCCCACGCCCCATCCCTTCGCCCCCACCCCTCCGCCCCTATCCCTCCACCCCACCTCCCCCACCCACTCCCTTCCCACCCCCCTCCTCCCCCCCACCTCCCTCCACCCCCCCCCCCGGCCCACCCGTCACACTAACGCCTTCCTAGAATCACCCAACCTCCTTTCATTAGGGCGCCTCCTCTCTCCTCTGGGTTCCTATGGGGTCTGCGTCCGGGGCCTGGTGGGGTCTGGGGCCCCTCTCTCGCTTGGGTCTATGGGGTCTCTGAGTTCCTGGGCCTGGGTGGGGTTCTCGCAAGGCCCTCCTCTCTCCTCTGGGTCCTATGGGGTCTTGGACTCCTGGGCCTGGGGGGTCTGCGGGCCTCCCTCTCCTCTGGGTCCTATGGGGGGCTGAGTCTGGGCCTGGTGGCGGTTGGGGCCCTCTATCCTCTGGCGTCCTCTTGGGTCGAGTTCCTGGGCCTGGTGGGGTCATAGGGCCCCTCTCGCCTCTGGGTCCTATGCGGGCTCTCGAGTCCTGGGCCTGGTGGGGTAGGGGCCCCCTCTCTCCTCTGGGTCCCTATGGGGTCTGAGTTCCTGGGCCTGGTGGGGTTTGGGGCCCTCTCTCCTCCTGGGTCCTATGGGGTCTGAGTCTGGGCCTGGTGGGGTCTGGGGCCCCTTCTCTCCTCTGGGTCTCTGGGGTGAGTCCTGGCTCGGTGGGGTCATGGGGCCCCTCTCTCCTTGGGTCCTCTGGGGTCTGGTTCCTGGGCTGGTGGGGTACTGGGGGCCCCTCTCTCCTCTGGATTCCTCTATGGGGTAGAGTCCTGGGCCTGGTGGGGTCTGGGGCCCCCTCTCTCCTCTGGGTTCCTATGGGGTTCTGAGCCCTGGGCCTGGTGGGGTCTGGGCCCCTCTCTCCTCTGGGTACTATGGGGTCTGAGTGCCCTGGGCTGGTGGGTCTGGGGCCCCCTACCCCGCCACGGACCTCATTCTCTCCTCTGGGTCTTGGGGTCTGCGTCCTGGGCCTGGGATGGCGTCTCGGGCCCTCTCTCCTCTGGGTCCTAGGGGTCGAGTCCTGGACCTGGTGGGGTCTGGGCCCCTAGGCAACGGATTACGGTTTATAGAGATAGGTCACCACTACTGTGCTACTTAATGAGCAACAAAAACATTTTATCGTGAAACAAAGGTGAAGTATTAAAGTTTGAGACTAATTTACATTTTTAATGAATCCGACCTGGCTTTATTGAAAAAGAAAAAATAAGGAAAATAAACATTTTTAAGGTAACAAGAGCTCATTAGAGATATAGGGGACACAATCTGTGATAAGCCCGAAATACAGACCACGTGGTAAACACTAAAGTTGGAAATGGATCCTTTTAGGAAAAATCTTTTATAGCTCTGCATGTTCTGCAGGCTCTGAAAGTTGCAACAATAGAAATAGCTCATGAGACAATTGTAATTGGACATGGAAAAATATAACAAAGTTAAAATTACAGGCCTTCTGTGTGTGTTATATGTTTGTGTGTGTTATATGTTTGTGTATGTTATATGTTTGTGCGTCATGTCAAAGTACACTACGTTGACCTTAACAAACTGGACCAAAATACTAACGTAGGGAATCGGCCTGTGATGTGACTGTGATGTGAGTGTGATGTGAGTGTGGTGTGAAATGAGGAGTGAAATGAGGAATGCTGAACGGAGAATGGAATAACAAATGTGTCTGTAATGTTTTAATGTGATCATGGAATAATTATTTTTTGTCAACAGCATACGGTGTAAGTACTAGAGATTCAAAGATAACAAGCTTTATTGAACAGGTGTAAAAGTGAGAGTACTCTGGGATGAGTACTCTGAGAAAAGTACTCTGCGGAAAGTACTCTGAGATGAAATACCTTGCTGAAGATATTGGGAGTCCCTGCCTCTGCTGTTTGTCCTGACAGTGATTCGGTCCAACCGCAGTGAGCTGTCGTTGGTTGAAGGACAACTTTGGTTTGTAAACTCACATTTAGGGGAGTATAAAATTAGAAACATACATTTTGTTGTTCTGTATTTGGCTACAGCCTCCGCCCTGATGTCACACACCGTCTGTCAATGCAGTTATGTTTTGCCCAATTGGAAAAAAGATTGACAAGCGAAAGTGGGCATTTTTTGTGTTTTTTGTGTTCTAATATTTCTTTTTCAGATGAGAGATAAACTACCCCTGCTTCAGGGATGACAGTAGTATGGATCATGAGGAAATGAGCCTCTACCTTGGCACCAAAGCCCACAATATGAATTGAGGACGATCCGGGAGAAAAGCAACTGGAGATGAACGGAACAGCAAATCTACACACACACACTAGGTCTCCCTGACCCAACCTGGCCATTCACTCAGACTGTGGATGAGCGATGTGGGTGCACGGTGTCGGTACTTTTGCAGTCTCACGGAGGGCCACTGAGACCCACTGCTTACTTCTCAGCAAAACTCGATCCCGTGGCAGCAGGGTTGCCTCGCGGCCTGCGGGCTGTGGCTGCCGCTGAGAAAGCGGCCCTAGCATCACGTGACCTTGTGGGATACACTGAACTAACTTTGCTTGTGCCTCATGCTGTTTCCCTGATCCTGCTAGAGCAGAAAACCTCTCACCTTTCTGCGGCTCGTTGGCTGAAATACAACACGGTGCTCTTTGAACTCCCCAATGTCACGGTGAAAAGATGCACACAGGTGAACCCCTCCTCACTGCTGCCCACGCCAGAGGAAGGGGAGGCACACTGCTGTATCGCCACAATAGAACAGAGATGCAATCCCAGGCCAGACCTGAAAGAGGTGCCTCTGACTAATCCTGACTTGATTTTTTTTTTATACAGACGGAGCCGCGTCACGTGACAACACTGGGAAGAACCGAGTCGGCTATGCTGTGTGTTCCGATTTTGATACTATAGACTCTGGTAGTTTGCCCCACCATCATTCAGCACAAACCGCTGAACTGGTCACGTTCACCAGGGCTTGTGAGCTGGCAGCGGGCAAAACTGTTAACATATTCTGTGATACGCGCTATGGTTTCTCTGTGGTGCACGACTGGGGGGCACTGTGGAAACACCGCAATTTCATGAAATCTGATGGTAAACCAATTCTTAATTCCACACAGGTTGAACGTCTGCTGAAAGCTGTAATGTTGCCCTTAGAGATCGATGTACGCAAATGCCAGGCCCACACTAATGCCACTGATCCCATCTCTGCAGGGAATCGGCGCGCGGACAAGGCAGCGGCATACGCACCTCTACACACACACACACACTACCTCACTCAAGACGTTGATATTTTCTCCTCTCTGTCAGCGATGCAGACACTGGCTACTCCAGCAGAGACGCTGCTGTGGGAGGGGAATGGGGCTCAACGACGGCATGGTGTGTGTGGCTGGGACCAGACAGCAAACCGTGCCTACCACGGCATTTCTTCAGACAGTTTGCAATTTTAGCACATGGTCGAGACCATGCCTCAGAAGGAGGGATGTGTGATTTAATCACACAAAAATTGGTATACAAAGGGGTTTACGGCATTTGCACAGAGATTCAGCCAAACATGCGCTATATGCCTCGCGCACAACCCAGGTAAGTCCCAAAAGTATCCAACAGGCTGCTCATCCTCCGCCCCTGCGCCCATTTCAACATGTCCAAAGGGACTTTGTTGAACTCACACCATGCCAAGGTAAGTAATACTGTCTGGGTCTGGCGGATCTCTGGTCCAAATGGACTGAATATTTGCATGCAAACACGCCACGAGCAACGCGGTGGTGAAAGCTCTGCTCACAGAAATTGTGCCACGATGGGGTGTCCCGAGGGAAAATCTCTAGTGACAATGGCAGTCACTTTGTAGCAAAAGTCATTGAGGAAGTGGGTGAATTTCTGGGCATTGATATACGTAAACACTGCAGTTACGCCCCCTGGTCCGGAGGCGCGTGCGAGCGAGAGAATGGCACTCATGTACATGCGCATGAGAGTCCCATTCGAAATCCTCTGTGCCAGACCACCCAACTTGGGCGCGGGACCCCCGAACAGAGATCTGCCAAGCACCTCTTTGTGTGATGACGACATGCTGTCCTATTGTAAGGAAATTAATGCACTTTTGTCCTCTATTTCTGCCCAGGTCAGGAGCGCCCTGCCACAGGCTGCGCAGGCGGCTCTGCACAGGATCAAGCCAGGCGACTGGGTCCTGGTGAAGGAAACGAGACGAAAGCATTGGCGGTCCAAGCGCTGGCTCGGCCCATTCCTCGCCCTCCTGGTGACGGACACTGCCGTTAAGGTCGCGGAGAGGACAACTTGGATCCACGCCAACCACTGTCGTGCGGTGCTGCCACTGAGGGCCATAGACGAGGACACCGAGGGCGCGGACGGACCAGGCCCATCCGCGGCTCCCTACGCTGAAGAGGTCGGCCGGCGTGCGACCACCGTCGGTGAACCAGGCCAACAACAACACCCAGAGAATCCCAGCGTTCCCGAGGCGACCCCCCTTTGCCCAACTCCCCAGCCCCCGAACCCCAAGGCCTGGGAGCCATGAAGGCCCTGAGCGCTCTGCTCAGCTGCAGCAAGTATGCAGAGCTGCTGCTCATTCCAAAGATTTCTCCAGAGCCTGCTCCCTCTGGCCATAATGCAGATTTGAGCTCTGCTGGAGTGCCCCCTGGTGTCTCGTCTCCCGTGTGTCCGGAGGAGGTGGAGATGAGGGCTGCTCTACAGTTCCTGATGAGGCACATGGTGAAGCGTGCTGTCGTGAGGTCTCCCATCAAACGAGCTTTGGGCCTGGCCGATCTGGAGCGTGCTCAAGCCATGGTCTCCACACCCCAAACCCCGAGCACTCTGCCCAACCGAGTGCTGAGGCCAAGGCTTCAACGCAATTAGAGTCTTGCCGCTTGTTAACGCTGGTTCAGCCACGGTTTCTCCTTCGATGAAAAATGGACCACAAATTCTGCTTAGATATATAAAAAAAAGGTTTAATATATAAAAGACAGAATACAGGTTACAGGATACAGACAAATGGCAGACTGGTTGCTCCAATCTGGGTCCTCTCCCTGGCAAGCCAAAAGCAAAAGACCCTGCTTCAGGAACAGGCTATCGATGATAAGCACACAGTCACATGACCATGATAATTGAAGACATGTGTTTCAACATCCTTAGGTGAAGACAATACCTTCTCTGTTTCAGG